GTTCCTATAGGAACATTAAATCCATGCAGGATACATCACTGAAGGTTTCCCAAGCAATGCACTCTCTTATGGGGATTCTGTAATGGGAGTCGTCTTATTTGAAAGCTGGGTCTGGATACCAGAGGTCTGCAGCTGCACTAGCTGGCTACATTCTCCAACGAAAAGTGCAGCTTGGTAGATAAAGATACCGAGGTACCGTCTCCATACTTCGCCTACTTTGCATACAATATGATCCAGTTGCGTTGCGTCGATACCGAGGCGCTGCACAGAAATTCGCATTCGACGTTAGGGAACGATTAGAAGTAGAGAGGGCAGACTAGCAGCGCGTCCGGCTCTGACTGGGCGTACGGCCTGGAGTTGGTAGCGTGGGCAGGGTCAAGAGATAGCCTACAGAACGATAAATAAGGTGTGATAAGTCGCATCACACCCTTGTGATGAATAGACAATTGCTTCATTCTGATCTCAAGACCAACCACGAGAGAATTCTGCTCAGTTCATTTCTGAGTGAAACAGAAAGGATCGAGTAAATGACCTCTGACGGCGAGTTTTTCCAAAGGCTCACAATCCTCTCACTAATTAAAGTGAAACTAGTAAGTGAAAGAATTCTGGAAGTCTGGCAAAAAATTTTTTCCCTAAAAAGTTGGAAACTATCCCTGATGCGACCGATTGTCGAAGGTTTCTCGAATGGGACTTCGAAATTAGATCTGCAGATTCGACCGCTTATAGTATGAATAAAAAAACGCAAAGTCCCCTCCTTATTTCCAGAGAGTCTTCCTCTGGGTATTCAAGTCTACCTTAGTAATGAATATTGAGAGTGCCCTGACAGGCGGAAATTCGTTCTGTAAATCCAGTCTTATCTCAACAAGCTCAACCGTAAGGCAGCATTCAGACTTCGAGATGACGCGCGTCATCAGGAAGTCTGAACGCTGCCTTAGACTGTGGCAAAGAGCTGAAAAACAGCCTTTCGATGCTCTCTGAAGAAAATGCGCTCAGTATAAATTTTGCCGTGCGCCGGGCCAGGTGCACCATCTTGATAATTCATCAATGAGCTCGAATAGGCAACGACCAAATCTCTGACTACATCAGGCTTTTAAATTCAGCACCGTCAACTAAAATTTCATGAATTCAGGAGCAAGTGAGCAATGGAGACCTGTTCGCAGAACAACCGTTTTCTCCAACGAATTAGTGAGCTCCCGCCTACTTGTCCTCCCGATATGGCATCAAGAGCACGTTGCAGAAGTGAAGCTTCCCGGGAGGCGGACAAAACAATCGCAATTCGTCGCGTCGTCGCGGCGCATTATGCGGCGAAGCGCGACAAATTCTCTGTGAGTGCAGGAAGTCGACTGGAGCAGCGAAACTGGTATGAATTCAGGCGGAGATAAACATCAGTGCTGGAAGATATCGAACTCCCTTTTTATACTCTAAGGTAAGTGAAAAGCCAGGCAGGCGCGGCGTCGCTCGGCACGCCCACCACCGTGGCATACTACAATCCCTATCCCTGAGAAGGAATGGCGTGGCATTTGAACATGGCACCGGACGGGTTACTCGGGAGATATTTCAGTTTAAGACAGCTGTCATCTTCTTCGGTGTTGGACAAAGGCATGACCACATTCTTCTCAAAATGAAAATACGTCATCAGAAGCACAACCACCGCCACGTTTAGTTGAAGTACGCAGCCACGCCTACCGCATAACAGGGATTTCGAGTGTACGATTGTCCTATCACATACCCAAGCCTCCCGATGTAGTGAAAAACCTTGCAACGCTGTGGATGCTGGGGCATTGCAGGAAGGGAGCCGAATTTGGCACGGCGCCAGCACGTTTTCCACAATTTGATTTGACTCGAGGCCAAGCCCAGCTAGTGACATGCTACTGCATCCTCAACAAACAAGGCTGTTCGTGACACTCAATACATTGTAATACACTTTATTCAAAATCAGTTAGTAATTAATAAAGGGCCGTCAGTGATTTGTTGCACGAGTTTTATATATACCTGCAAAAATAATACATTGAGATGGAAAACTGAAAGTTTAGGAAAGCTAACTCAAAATGACTGTGACTGATGACTAAACAGCTAATAATAAGTGCGTGAGGCGGACGTGGTCTAGCTGCAAGTTTCTCATTTACCACACGCGCAGCCCGGCGATAAAAACACGGATCGGCTCCCACCCAGTCCAGCAAAGATTGCCACCCTGCAGACGATAAATTGGTACTACCAGATTCGTCTGGGAGGATGAGAACACTGACCCATTACAGCGGCTCACCCTTCAGGTCATACCCCGTCCTCCGTATAGGCGAGAAAGCATTCCATAGGTCACTGCGATTCTGAATGGAAAATGGGTGCTGCATCCCCACGAGGGAACGGCTATAAGAGTTGATCCTTCATTCACCATCATAAGTACGTGCATGCCCAACTATTGGAGGGGGGTCCCCCAAATGGCTGCCACGCGATACGCCACTAAGCGCAGTGACGCAAGTGCTATCAGTGGCCGGTTGCGGTCAGGGACCCCCCCCCCCGTTCCCAACACGTACCTACCAGTTTCCCCACATTTTCCACTTTTCATCCGAAAATTCGGGGAGGAGGTATACGGCCAATGTGAAAGGCGAAGATTTCTTGAAGTATCATCAACCCTAACAATCTTTCCGCAACTTACCGAGAATTTTCCTACTTTTCCCCAATCTTTGCTATAGCGGGAGGGGGCATACAACGGCCAAGTACGACCACCCACACCAGGCTCCCCAGCGGAAAAAGTGCCGACCCCCCTATGTTATTGCACACAACGATGCTGTACCCTGGTTGCGGTTCCAGTCAAAGAGGTCGTGAGAGATGCCCTGACGTTCTCTTGTACCGCCTACATTCTGTTGTGCGCACTGTCCGTTTCACTCTCTTCAGCAACTGTCTACTGCCGCCGCGCTCACAACGGGGATCGTGGACACTCCTCCCTCAACCGGATTGCAGGTTGGGTTCATTTGCAACGCGATCACTTCCTCCCAGTGATGTTTTCACTAAACTCTGAGGCAAGCGAAAGGCTTTTCCATGGTGTTGTAATGGGTGCTGTCCCAATCATGTTTAGTAGGGCTGACTTGAGAGCGCGACTTAGAGTCGTAAACGGGAGCTACCAGGGTGGATGTCCAGTGCTCTGCCAGACAGCAACCTTCTACAAACGCGGCCCTCCATAATAGCACTTGACACATGAGCCTCCGAATGTTCCTCAGACAAGAAGCATCTCTTTCACTCGCCAATCAGAACTGTTACAAGGCATGCTTTGATAGGGTTCATGAATTAGCCGCACTTGAAAAAAGAATCATTCTTTATTTGAATCTATAATTCGGAAACCCTTCGCTCACTAGGGGCATTTTATGGTTTCCATCGATCACTGTCAATGCTTTCTGTAGACACATGTGAACTTTTGCAAAGCTATGCCATACCAAGAGTTTTGTTTCACATCTGCGTCTGAGATCTGCCAGTCTCCACCAACATGTGACGTGCATTTAGGCGACCGGGGATCAACTCGTGTTAGGCCTCCTTTTCCGAGCTTTGACCGGAGAAATTGTAAAGCTATGAAAATTGTAAGAGGTGGAAATTTATCCTCAGGGATATATTCCGTGCTCGTAGTGTGGGCGGAGCCTAATATTACGAATTGCTCGTTGGTAGCCCTTCCCTTCCACAACTACAAACAGGGAGCCTTTTACCATTAAGTGCTTCCGCCGTTCGCCCGTAGTACCTGTCGAAACTATGAAATAAAGGGATTGTTCGTTTTCCATGCAGAAAAGTCTGCGTTTTTCTGCCCAGGGAATCGGGACCTACTCCTTTGGAATTCGAAAATAGAATATTTTTGGTAGATAAAAGCCTCACTTATTTATTGACGATTTCCAAAAATAAGTGCATTTACGACACCACTAGCAATATACGTAGCATAAACGTCATGCAAGAAAGACTAATGGAAATATTACAACTGAACCAAATAATAAAGTTCCATCAAGAGCGGGCTCATGAACATCTTAAACAGGAGCGACCTCCTGACTCTGTTTCCAGCAGCTCGTGCATATTCTGAAAGCAATAGGTTAGTAGAGGCTGACATGGCCTCTTGAAAGCATATTTCTCCGTGGAAGCAAGCGGATAGGCTCAAAACCGTTCTTCCGTCCACTGGCGCTCCGCCGTCACTTCTGGTAGAAGGATACGCAGTTTAGAGAGAAAACGATCAGTTTCTGACCGCTCCTCCCGCCCGTTCGGCCATTGCCGGAATCTGGCCCCTCAGAACAGCTAGGCGATACGGCGGCAGTTTAGCTGTCACACGGTCTTTATGAGAAGACGATTTCCTTGTTTGAAAAAGACATTAATAGCTTACCCATAGGCAAACATTGTCGTTATTGCAGCCGGTGTGATGAATAACGGAGGCTGCGCACTTAAGTATACGCTACGAATGGCACGACCAACGAATATACCTTGTACGAAGGAGAATGAAAGCGAAACAAAACGAACGTCGCCATCTTTCAAGGGGTTGTGGTAGCGAACATCCTCGTCATACTGAAAACATTGCATTCAATTGCACGTATACATACACTTTAAAAGATTGACATGATCGTATGGGCCTGAACAATCAAGACTAATTACCACTTCGAACCATCCTGCTCCCTGTTTAATTGGAAATCCTTTCTTCGCCTTCCCATACTTGGATTTCGACTTTCTTCTGCCTAGATTTTCATGTCTACTCAAAGTCACCTCATAAACTATACACTCTCAACGATACAGCTACAACGAGCGAGCCAATGAATTATGATGTGGTTGGTTCAAATAGCCCATTCTTTTCAAATTTTTTACCCTTTGTTGTGCATTCCAATATGCGTTGAGCCAAATGAAACCTCATCGTCGGTGTAGTCCTTGCATGGAACCAGGACAATCATGGCAACATTACCATTTTGAAAAGTCACCACGACCCTGAACGACCTCCTTCTTTGTTTTATGATTGCGCCAAAAAAGACAAATCGGTCAAAGACAGCCCCTGCGCTCAAGTAGTACACAGTCATCTTTCCTTGTGCAAGTAGTACAGCCCCCAAGCTAGAAACTGTCCCACTCTCGCGACTGCACAACGAGCTAGGAGCAAGCTACATGCCCTCAAAGTTCTAGTTCTAACGCCGCTCAGTTGGACCGCCTCACTCGCTATATGCTCTCCGACGGAGGGCCGTCAGTTGTTCCTTGTTGGGGTGGCGGGCATTAATCGGCGTTCATGTCCTTTTCAAAATAATACTGCTTTCCTTTATAACACTTTATTCTTTAGCAACACATACAGTCAACTTCATCCCATCTCGCAAGGTAAAACGCGTAAAAATCACGAGCGACCCAATTTTCGTGGTGCAAAAGCTCGACGCACTAAACACACTAAAAGATGCACGCTACCGTAACCCTTAATTCGGACGCCGAGTTTTTAAAAGTTTATTTTCCTTTTCAAGAGTTTTTCTTCCGTGTTTTTGTTGTTTTCCGTATTCTTTTTTTTGCATTGGATGATATCCATTACTGGGAGATGCGAAAAAGGGATTTGTGAGCCAGGGGTTGCACAATGACCGCAGGGCTGTGTGACTGACAGGGAGCGATCTTGTTTATGGTGTTCTTGAGAACTCTTCTTGCTTTTTCTCTTCTTTGGAGAATTACTTATCAGCTACTGTTTCATAATTGAAAAGCAACTATCCATGACACTTTTATCGCGGGAGCTGTCTTTAAAGGCTGAGCCCGCATTCAAATTTGATGAGTTATGCGGCTCAAATACTTATAACAAGGTAGCAAGTAACCCCTTAGTGAAGAAAAATCAGAAAGAAATCATAGGAAAGGCTCTATATAGAACCCCTTGCTTAACTGAGGTTGTACGTGCTCAAGGCGAAGAGAAGGTGCGGCCGCACGAGTTCTCACTTGTTGATATCAGCTGTTTTCCCTTATCACCTCACTCTCACCATTCGAAGTGGAGAGAGTTAGTAGCAGAACAACCGCACCATCAGGTAACCATTAGGAATGAATGGAGGGCGGTGCCAATGATTGTAGGTTGGGCCAATGAGAAGAACGACGGCATCGTGGGCCTCCTCACTCGTTTTTGCGCCGCGAAAGTGGTGTAGTTGTTGCCTCTGCGGACCTGACTACCTGCTCACGAAGGGAGAGGAAAATCTCAACTGAACGCGGACGCTGCCTTTAAGACTCAGGGTAGAATATGAGAAGTTCATGCAGGTCAGGCCTCTCAGTCAGAAAGTTCATTACCCGGGGACTCAGAGCGAAATGTTCTGGTCGGTTTTCGAAGGTAGGCAGTGTTTGTCGCTGACTTGCCAGCTCTCCCGTTGAGTTACTCTTCACTAGTAGGGCATAGAAGAGTCATGTGCAAGTCTGGAAACTGCTTAACATCCAGCCGGCGCCCAATCGTTTCAAAGCTGAGCGCTGCCCGGCGACGGGAGAGGGCATTTTGCACTTTCACTACTTCCCATCAATGTGTCGACCCATCTAGACAGCCTCTTCTCGAGTTGACAGGTTTTACCATGATGGCTTGACGAGCTTGCTCCAGCTTCACAAGAGTTCACAGGTTTCACCAGAGTGAGACTTGTAAACCGGAACTAGTGAAGCAATGAAAGTGCAAAATGCCCCCCCCCCCCGAACTGGCCGCAAAACTGTTTAGATCGCTCTCAAAAATGACTTAGACCGCTAGTGGTTCAAGGGGATTGACCAGCAGGGGTCGTATACCTCGGAAAAATGTTTATGGTTCTTGATTTTCTCTGTTTCAGGCGCGTTATACTCTTCTCTCTATCTGCTGCTGACGGTGCTGCGACCACTACTTCCTGACCGCTCATAACGCAACTTTAATATGGGAAAGCTTGATTTGGGTGAGCAATGGCAACCGACTGGTACGTGACTACTTGAACTTTTGTGTAATGGTCCTTTTGCGACACCCTGACAAGGCAGTAGAGGCTGCCAAAGCACTGAAAGGCACGAGAGACATTAGGGGAGTAGGGATTGGCTCTTTAGGGAAGCCATGGGAGTGGTTGAGCCTATGTCATGTGGGAAAAGCCGGAAGGGGTGAGATTACAGTGGACATAGGACGCCATGCAGACGAGTGACTGCATAAAAAAACAGCACGTCCTCTGTGCTTTTCTGCGCTTTCACAGCAAAATGGTGCTCCCTTCGTTCACGAACAGCTTGAACCTAATCCCTCTGACTGCGTAAACCTCTGCTTCTCGCTCTCTCGTCCGCGTTGTGTTCTGTAGCCGATGGGACATTGCAAACTCCATTTTCATGCACAATATACGGCTCACCCACTTATGGTCCCCTTTTTGCACCTTACGACGTTTTCGCAGCAGCTGTCCTCCATCTGTCTGCTCCACAGGGTTTCGCAGCGGGACCCAGCACGAAAGTTATGTTGTCATGTAATCGTCGTTCATTCAGCTGACCTCTTTCCATTCCTTGCCTCCATAGCGCAATTGAGGGGAAAAGGAGCTTGGCACAGTCCCCCAGTCGTTCCATTCAGAGGATGGGACCAAGGGAGCAGTTCTACCCGGCTCCCTTGGTCCCATCCTCTGAATGGAACGGTGAGTAGTCCTATGCGATCGCTCAGCTCATAATAAAAGTGCATTCGAATGCAAAAGCCTCACCTGTTGAATAACAAATATCGCAATAGAGGGTAAGACGATGCATGCCGTTATCATTGCAGTGTTTTCTTCCACAACCGATTCAACAAATGGAGCCAGCGCTGAGTGGCCCAGGAACATTCCGACCATCGCTGCGAACGCACAAACCGACGACCATGCATAGATCTCGACCATGGAGTTTCTTGGGGTATGGACATCATTCTGTAATGGAGAGGATTATGGATCAGTTCAAAACGGCAGACTGTGAGATTTGACGAGATGAGATTTCAGGCACATTCTACGTTGAAAGGGGGAAAAGTGGAGAAAACTTCAGCTATTACGCTTTCCTCATTGGTACGCTCCTCCTAGCGTCAATATGCTGAAGGACATACCAATGAGTAAGGCACAAAAGTAGATGTTTCCGCACACCTGCTGGTCGTTCCCGTTGTCGCAGAAAGTTCGTTTATGTGGTCTGTGATCGGCGATGTTGGGAAAGTTATCGCCATTATAAAGGACGAACTTCAGAAAGAAGAATTAAAGTGACTATACTCGGTACCTCTATAGGAGCATGGTACCTCGACTGTGCGATGGTAACTCGACTTACTGAGCGCTCTGACCTTTAACTATTAGGTTTTCTACAGTGAGACAGCACCCAAACGTAGAGTCTGGGACCCTCTAGCAGTGCTCCACGGTCGAGACACATACTTGCCCCCATTGCATTACCCTAGACAGTAGTCCTTCACAGATCATGATCATGACATATCACGCGACAGTAGATTTCGGGTTACAGCGTAATGTGGAAGATGCGGAGGTGCATGCTGGAGAAAAGGAGGAGTTATGTGCCTCGGGAAAATTTGTCTGCAATTTTGGGGCCGGCGCCTAGGGACCTCTACAATGCCATACGATTTCTAATGGGAGAGAACTCCGATGTGGGTGAGCCACTCCGGACAGATTCTCATGGAAGGAAGGTAGTCTTGCTTTCCGGGACTCGCCTCCTCCTTGATAATGGTGGGCTACTGTAGCTTTGACGCAAACTTGCAGAATGGGTCCCGTCCCCCGATGGAAGGCCGACTTTGCGTGAGACGAATGACGCGGCAGTCTAAGAGTGAAGAAAGTCTCCAGAGAAATCAGTGCAGCGTGAGACAGTTCCGTGCATTTCTTCATGTTTAGGATAAGGAAGGGGCGCAAGACGGCGCTGTAAAGAGACCCAAAAAGAGGGCGTAGTGCTGACTCACCGTGTCAGAGACGATATTCATCAGTCGGTCAGTGACAGTATCACCAGATTGCGATGTGGATGTGTTAATATCTTCCACAGCATGCGATATCGATGCGCCCGCTGCTTGCGGAGCGGATTCACTCACAGCTTGTGGAACAGATTCACAAACAGCTTGCGGAAGAGATCCACCCACAGTTCGTGATGCGGTTTCGGCAATCTCTCGACCCTTTCTAGCAATAGCTTCCACTTCGGACTCGACTTGATTGCGATAGTCCTCGTGCAGGTTGGCCGTAGCATTCATCATGTTAGTTGAGTAGTGAGATCAAACCCACTAGCGAGTAGTAAGTAGTGTCAAAAATGAAACACACCATCCTCTATCAGTGAACTCAGTGATAAGGTGAAGATGTATAAGCACCTTTTTCAAACGCATATTTTGATATCTAATATCTTGATCCCATCGGAATCACCGTGTCCACTTTTTCACCATATTCCTATGCAAAGGGCAAAGTACAGCTGATATCGCCGTAGGCAGTCGGGGCGGTGTCAGGAGGCGAGGAATGCGGCTGCTTCTTCAAAGAATAATGGCCCGTTTAAGTGAAAAACGCAGAGGTAGAAAAAGTCGGGCATGGGCTCATTTCACGCCCTTCGACATCGCCCTGACTGATTGCGACGATATGAACTGTAACGCCTGTTTTGCTGACCACACACTCAAACAACGAACATCAAGCAGAACAGGGATGCTGGCAAAGGCTGGCCGTGCAATAAGATGTACCAGAGCGTGACTTGGAAAAAGCAATATTCATGGAGAGCAAAACTGTTCCTAATGCTACAATCTCCTCCATCGGAAGCACCACCCCTGAATACTGCAGCTGGGACTAACACAGTGGTATTACAGGTGTGTTTGTGCAACAAGAGAAAGCTGGTGTCACACTGTAAGGGGTGAAAATCTCGTCGAACTAAATGTGGCTTGTGGAAAGGTCAACGATCCTCTTCTAGTACTTTCAGCCTGTCGCTGACTGGACGAGGACATCTCAATTTGTAGGGATTTGATAGGTCACTTGAGGAGCCGTGTCGGTCACGTTCCTCAAGAGCTTGTATCTAGGCAACATTCGGAAGGGCAATGGAGAAGGTCATCCACGACTTCCACTGTGATCTCTTTGACAGCCACGTCCACCTGCCACCATACCGCTTGGAGCAGGATGGATACGTCGTTCCTGCAGTTCTCCGACACGCCATCTCGTCGGTGAAGAATCGTAGGCCACCTGGTCCCGACAGGATCAGACCGAAACATCTGAAGAATCTTCCGCCAGTTCTTGTCAAAACTCTGGCTCGACTCTTCACGCGCTACCTGTCGGAATGCAAGGTACCCACCTCGTGGAAAACCAGCAAGACTGTGTTGCTGTACAAGAAGGGAGACCTGTACGACATTGGCAATTATCGCCCAATCTGCCTGCTGTCTGTAGTCTACAAACTTTTCACACGAGTCATCCTGAACAGGATTGGCAGAACACTAGACGAAGGACAGCCATGCGAGCAAGCAGGGTTTCGAAGAGGATTCACCACGACCGATCACATCCACACGGCAACGAAGCTTATCGAAATATCACGAGGGTAGAAGATGCCGTTATGTCTCACGTTGGCTTAAAGGCACAGTTCGCGACCGCAAATTGCGGGAAACGGAACTCAAATAGGCACAAAAAAGTGCTAAGTATCTGATTAGCGGAGAAAAGCAGCAGAAAAAGCAGTCCGAAATGTATAGAGAAAGATAACATAGTGGCTACTAGCTAGTAGCTAGCAGCCGGTGAGGGTCGGCATGGGCCTAAGGGGTGTCCATGGGCCTAATTAGTCAGCTTCTAGCGGAGTTCTTGCCGTTTTTCACATTTTGAAAGTAGCGCAGCCTCAAAAATCGCCTTCCGGATCGTCCGACACATTTGAGAGGTCATAGCCTTATTTTATCGCGGAATGTGCCTTTAACTTGGAGAAAACCTTCGACTCAGTTGAGACAGAAGCGGTTATCGAAGCCCTGGGCAACCAGGGTATTCCTACTCAGTACATCAGGATTCTTCGTGAGCTCTACAGCAACTTCACGACCAAGATCTCACCATTCTACAAGGAGATCATCATCGTGAAGAGAGGGGTCCGACAGGGCGACACCATCTCGCCCAAGCTCTTCAGCGCCTCTCTCGAGAACGTCATGCGTCAACTGGAATGGGAAGGCAGTGAAGATCGACGGTCGGCAACTACACCATCTCCGCTTTGCTGACGACATCGTTTTGATAACACCAAACATCGAGCAAGCGGAACGAATGCTGGCTGATTTCGACTGCGCGTGTGGAAAAATCGGTCTACGGCTGAATCTAACGAAGACGATGAATGCTCTAGCCATGTGTACCTAGGCCGAACGGTACGAGGTTTGCGCTTAATCGCTGTGAAAAGCGAGGATCACCGAAGATGGCAAAGTGCCAAAAGCGCCGCGCGCGACACGTGCCGCACGGGTGTTGTAGAGATAAAGGCTGCTCGCGAGCCGATGCCTCGTCCACCTACCGTATCAGCGTGCCTAGCGAGCCTTGTGGAAATCGCTCTAACTTCCTTATCGCGCCATATTGAGGGATGAAAGTGGTATCATCTTCATAAAGGCGTAGAAGGGTTCCAAAAGGCACGAAGTCATTTTGAGGACCACTTGATCGCGGGGAGTGTCTTTAAGAGTCTATAAGCTCTGAGGCAACCACTAGCGCACTGCCAGCGCCCGCGTCAGCGATTCGCCACCAAGAATCTGTCCTTTATCGTTCTGCTCCGTCCTAAGCAAGTACTCCGCCCTGAAGAAATATCAGAGACAAAATGTTCACTCCTTCGTTTACGGTCTTTTTTAAGAGCAAGGTAAATGAGTCAATGAGTTCAGCTGCTGCAGTATGTAACTTTGTCTGCTTAGTGATGCACGGAAACGGGGCGAAGGTAGTGCACAACTGTCGTCTCCTTGCGCCTCGCACTATCCTGAATTTGTGGCAGCGTTTGCCTACGATTAGGCGTGCCGTCAGCCGTGCGGCAGCGCGGGTGGGGAATGGAGACTGAGCCCCAACAACGTTACCGTGCACTTCTGACCGGAGACAGTGGCCTGAGCCTTTGCAGCTGCGGACCCATTCTCTCCACACAAAGCAAAGGCCAAATTCACGGAGGGGGGGGGGTATACAGATTGGCGACACGCCATTAGGCGCTTGCCCATTGTCGTTCTTGTTCCCAGCATGGGTTCTTCCCTGAGGAGAGTATTCACCCACTTTACAATTACAGTTTGCACCGCGTTTGAATGTTAGTTGTTCTGAAATGAAGCCTAGCGAGCGAACGCTGATACGCCTCCATCCCTGTTTCCTCATAAACAGGGCTGGACTAGAGTAGGTCTACTTTGCATCTTACTTACGTAACACACTCACGTTACCATGGACGCTGTTGCTGAAGTGATAGCAAACTATCGTCAAGACTTGGAAGAAGCCGCGGAGGTTCTTCGCCGTCGTGGTCAAGAGTTCTCAGAAGCCGCGCCAAAAATGATCGAGGACACAAGGAACGAAATCGAACCTCAAACACAAGAAATAATAAATGCCGTCCAGGATACAGTGAGTAGCCAAGGATAGGGTAGCGCTAGATTAAGGGACTAACACATGTTTTGTAGAGCGATGTAGCACCTGCAGAGAAACCAATCATAGAGGTATTTGCCTGGTCGACAGTGATGGTTCTATTTGCTAACATAGGTATCTTCTTCGGGGTGCATTTCCTGGGACCATTTGTCTCTTTCGTCGTCGGCAGGTTCGGTGCCGCTCTGGTGGCTTTCATTGGCTTACCGTTCTATGTTCATTATACAATCAAGAAGGTATGTTATATTTGCCAGTTTTCACTATAGCAAACTATGAAATGGGTTTCGGAAAGCAGTCATGAGCAAGCTTGCATCTCTCACCTACAATGTGATATGATCTTTTCAATTAAGCAGCGTTCATGCTTTGCGATTCGACTGAATTAATCGCGCGATTCACAAATCTTACCGAGTACGTACCTCAAGTCGGGAAGTATGAACGCGGTCTCGTAATCTATGAGCGTTATCCCTATCAAAGCGCCCAAAGGGAACCGTCGCGCATAGTACCGCCTCGTCTGGTGCGAATGTGCGGCACAGTGGCCTAGATTCTTGGTGGTAGGGGAAGGACTAGAAAGTCCAGATTCCAGGTCTTGTTTCGGGCATGGGTTGAAAGCGCAATAGGCATAAACGCATGGAACGTGGATGATTGGCCGGGTACGGATAAAAAAACATGTAAATCGTGAGCTACTTTCAGATCCTTGAAGACGACGAATTTCTGCGGAGGTGGCATGGGGCTATGGTAGCCAGCCCGGAGCATATCAATCGGTAGTCACCGATGGGCGGACCTCACAAATACTCTGGCTCCCTCGCTGGTGCACCCTCCTCGTCACCATGCTAAAAGACAGGCGTACTAGTGAGGAGGCCCCAGTTATCAGCTTCCGCTCATCTCTCAGCCAAACCGGACATCGCGGAATAAGCCCCAAAGTAAAGGAAGCCGTGGGTAGGATGTTGCGTTCCAAATTTGGCATGCGAGTCACCACGCACATTTTCTTCCGCTACGCCACTTGCC